TTAATACTTTGCATTGAAATCATAATTGGGAGGCGAAGGGGGTATCTCTGGGGGTGGGGGGGGCTTAGGGTGTCGAGTAAACAATTAGTACTTAACTTATCTGAGAGATAGAGCGTGTATTGTAAGTATTGTAGACAAAGTAACAGTAAATGTGTGCCTATTTATGGTAATGGTTTACATGAGTCGTTACGTATGATTAGATGATAAAAGAGTTTATAACAATATATATCGGACGTCACATATCATATCACTTTTGTTTGAACTGAGGGGGAGTGCAGTCGCTATCTCTACATTGTATCTATATTTTATAGTTGGTGCAATCAATTTAGTTACTTAATGTTAGTCATTGCTAAATTACAAAATAAGTTAGTGATAATAGCAGTATATTTATTGTTGTGTAACAAGTGTTTGCAAACACCAAGGTAAACTATAATTTATGTTATTTATATCGCAATTAATTCATAATATACTCTATGTGTGCATGGTCTTTTCATAATGGACGCCATTAATACAATTTATAAACAAATATATATTTAATTAGATTTATATAGATTTAATAGTTTGTGTTCATAGTTAGAGTAAATATATTGTTTTGTTATTTAATATGTTGACTAAACATGTGATAAACCGGTTGTTATGGTTCATCAAATTACATATGTTTAGTGTATGCGAACCCACTTGTCATTGAATTAATACTCTCATTACGTTAGAGTAAAAGTATATTTACAATAATAAACCACTCAATGAATGAATTGCGATAATAGATGTGGTGAATGATGTGATATATGAGGCGTTTATATTGTAAGTATGCTATTTAGTGACTAACTGTAATGGTATGCACTAGGGTTGGCAATCGGACAAACCTTGTATTTTACGTATGTAATTTACTATGTATTTTACGGTGTGTTTTACATACACGAATTTTCATTTTGTAAAATGCATCAAAATTTGCAAAATTTATGTAAAATGTTTGCACAAATGTTATTTGTTTATTATTGTAAGAAATAATCATTGATTAAAATGAGTAAAATGATTTAATAAAAGCCACAATCAATCGTTTGCACTATTTTACAAAAACCAATGATAAATATCTGTAAATATTTATAAATATTGTTGCAATTTTGTCAAAAAATCAATTATTGAACAAGATTCAAATGTTATAAATGTATAATTAATGTCATAATTGCAATAAAATTGCTCAATTTTTAGTCTTAAAATATGTTAATTTTCCCCCCATAGTAAGTAAAAAACATGTAAATTACGTGCATTTTGGTATTTTACAATGTAAATTACGTGGCCTCAAAAATTTTCTTGTAATTTACCAACCTTAGTATGCACTAAACGTGACATTAGAGAGGAGAACGTATACACAATAGCACTATTGAATAGTGTGTGGTTTCACTTGCATTGCGTGTGGTTTATAAAAATTGGAAAATAATCTGACAGACAATATGCACAATCTGTCCGCGAGATAATTACATTTAATGTCGATGTGATAATAGTTCAGGACACTAAAGATAGATTAATAACATTTTTAACAACGATTAAGCTATGAATAATTTGGTTTATAGGATTGTTAGGCCCCCCTCCCCCGCTCTATGGGATTTAACATGAAATTACAACTTAAGTCTATGGCTATACTTTAACAAGGGGTTCTTGCATCTATGGGGAATTAACATGGGATTACAGCATAAGTCTGTGAGCATATTTTAACATTGGTAATGCTAAGTCTATGTCATAGACTCTATGACATAGAGTTAACCTGGGCAATGCTATGTGGTTGGGGGAGTGCTAATCCAAAAGATTTTTATTAAATGTGTAGATAAAGCTACCCTAATATTCCGTGCATTACCCGCACCCATGTATAACCCGCACCTCAAAAATTTGTATGTAAATATTGCTCTACATGTATTAATCAATACATAACCCACTCCATGAATAACCCACACATAAGAATTTCCCAAAAAACTTACTTTTTTCTATAGATAACCCGCGGGTAATGCACGGAATAATAGGGTAATTATTCCTTAAGCAATAACCGAATTGTGCTTAACGTAAAGCATCGCTGTGTGATCCTTGTTTCGTATTAATGGCTACACATTGCAACCTCTCTTTAGGCAACTTCTCTTGTGAGAACCCCTCCTTATAAGAAACTGAATTGAAATACTTGTTAGATTTCCTATACTTGTAATGTTAAAATAATCCCTCTTATGTTAAAACATGTAATACAATAAATACAACTTTATTATACTCAAATACTATTCGCCTCCAATCAAGCCAATGAACATTAAATAAATTAATTTATAATTTTTTTAAATGACAGAACACTAGTCAACCATCTAGATCACACCCGTGCCAATAGTGAGTGCCTTAAACATCTATCCATCATACAAAAGCAAAAATTTGTAAGTTTAAAATAAATAGTTTAATAGTAAATCTACCACATTCTTCATATACGAATTGTGGTTAAAATGACCATGTATTAAACCACTACAATAAACACTACACGCGATAATGTATTGTGCAGACAATGGCCTATCAGTCGGACAACGTTGCGAACGGCAACCATAACGCAGCCCTCGAGTACAACAAGCGTTTGAAAAATGTAATCGAAAAACAGATGAGCATGGTACAATATATGACTCACACCGACCAAAGCACTGACACACTTAACGAGGAGAACGTAGCGCTGCGCGCTGTGGGAGAGGCCTATGGAGTGCTCATTGATGTCCTTCGAAGACATTATTTGTCGCCACTTATTGCGAGCGTTGCGGACAACGGGTCACTACTCGCGATGGGAGAGGCGGCCAAAGTGCAAATGGACAGCAATCCCAGCGCTTTCTGTTTGAGAGCTTTAATCGCTAACACAATGCGAGGCCGTAGGGGAGGCGCGTTCGGCGGCACCCATGGCCTCGCATTGAACGGTTGGCCTCGTAGCGGATCGTTTACCGGCCCAATAGCCGGTATTATTGATGCATCATTCGAAGCAGCTCAGTCACAAGCCGGGCCATCACCTGCCGGGCCATCACAAGCCTGCTTGAGTCGATCGGAAATAATGCCCAAGGATTAAATGAAGAGTCAGACCAAAAGTTTTAATTGCCTTTAATAGGAGCTCAAATCAAAGCTCATAATATATATTCAAAGCCAAATAATAAGCCAAAAAATACTAGATTATGAACAATGAGATTATTATAACATCGATTATTATAACATCGTTATAATAACTAACAATTAATTGTCATTCCAGTAATTTATATTATTATTTGTATTTGTTTCTATTATTTGTTGTTCAAAATTTAATTCATAATTATTCCCAGATTTCTAAGTCATTTCAGTATATTTTCAAAATATTCTGAGATTAAAATACAAAATTTTATTATAATTTTTATAATTATAATTTATACTTATTAAATATATTCAAATATATAATCAACTTAGTACTCTCACTTGTTAGAATTCTCAATAATTGTCCCGTAGAATTCTCAATTATCATGGCCTTTATGATAATGACCATGTTAATTCAAATTGTGATTGATTGTTATCGACACATCAATAACTTACTGTCGATCGGTTTTGTTTTATTTTTAAACATCTTTTAATTGTATTTATTCCATAAATTATTTATTATCTTTAATTAATTGAACAAGGCAATTTTTTAACTTTTATACAATTTTTTACCAAATTTGTATTTTTATAAATACTTAATGAATTACTTAAGTATTAACGTTCATACTTACGGCAGTTAATAAAAGGCATTTAACGTTGCAATTAATTTTGATGTTTATTTTAATATTTAATAAATTGAATTCTAAATACACGGATACAGACCTGGAATAGACAACACCTGCGAAGAGTGTAGTGATGGCCACAAGGAGTGCCTTAAATGAGTTGGACTTTACTCTTGAGACGAAACACAAAGAATAGCAGACAATAGGCGGTGAAGAATGCTATGAACTGCGAGTGTTGTGATGGCATACCGTATGACCGGTTCGAGTGATGGGCGGCGCCGACCACTTGTTGCCACAAACGAGTGATCACTGAATACGAAAGTGACGCCAATTTAAGCGCAATTTGTCGAAACTAATGGTCGCCTCGGAGTCAGCCATCGCTCGGATCAACTGTTGGCCCAAAACAGATACAGAGGTTCTAATTGTATAGTTTAAAAAAAATGTTGTCTATTGGAGTGAATCCGGTCTTTGAAAATATACAATAGTTCGAGTTATGGAGAATTAAGTATCGATATAATTGGTCACTACAATTGGTCATCAGACCCGCACTCATGAGTGGGCGCAACAGTGAAGCGCACGTCTCAACACATATTCATTCATTGAATCACAACTAAATTCAATTCAAACTTCATTTATTAAAATTCACATCAAATTAAAAACTTTTCATTTTATTCAAAAACACATAACAGTTGTATAACTTTTTGTACATAAAATTTTTTCGTTATAATTGAATACATGTTTTAAATACATATACAATTGCATTTTTATGCATAAGATTTTTTTTTAAATTAATTGTAAATTTATTTTTCATTTCATAATTTACACCAAAGTTTATGAAAAATTAAAATGATAAACTTTTTGGCCAAAAAATATAAAAAGTTTATTATTAATGTTTATTAGTTATTATTAAAGCAATCAATTAATTGATTTGAAGGAATGCTTTCCACACTTTCTAAGAGTAAAACTATTTATTAAACAAAACACAATTAAAACACATATAAAATAAAGCATAGATTAGTTGACGCAATACTTGTGGCCAATAAAGTGCGCAAAAGTATTAATACTTTGTATTGAAGTCATAATTGGGAGGCGAAGGGGGTATCTCTGGGGGGCGTTCGGGAATCGTTACGCCTTCGGTGTCGAGTAATCGTATCTTAATGTCCATCGAAAGGAGTGTTTCCAAGTCATTGTTGGTCTCTTTGCTGGTCATCTCCTGACCCAACAGCCCGTTAATGGCGTCAATCCAATAGTCAAAGACCTTCTCGTTTTGGGCCACAAAATTCAAGGGCGACTCCTCTTCGGCGTCGGGTATCAGCGAAAAGGCCAACGAAAACGTAGACTTCTTCGACGTCTTCATGTCCTTCATATGCGGACAGTCTTTGCCGATCACCAGTTGTTTGATGTCAATCACAGCGAACTTGTGGGTCAACTCGTCCACCGAAAGCACCCGATTCTCGTCGCAATCGCCGTAACACAAGAACTTCTGATTGGTTGACAGCCGGCAGTACCAGAACTTGTCTTTGATTCGCACGCCTGGCGTTCAGATAATAATAAGACAATTAATGGTAAGACATGTCAAACGTAGAGACAATGACAAGACATACCTTTGTTTGAATACTTGTCAAAACGGGTCCCTTCGGTGAGAAACACCAATCGTTGCTCTTTAATGAGTTCAATGATCTCGGGTTTAACCAAATCCCGCAACTCTAGTANCCTTCGGTGAGAAACACCAATCGTTGCTCTTTAATGAGTTCAATGATCTCGGGTTTAACCAAATCCCGCAACTCTAGTATAGCGCAGGCCTTGTTCTCCCACTCTTCGCGATTACTTCTCTCCTTTTGCCACAAACTAGTGATCACTGAATACGAAAGTGACGCCAATTTGAGCCGCAATTTGTCGAAACTGACGGTCGCCTCGGAGTCGGCCATCGCTCGGATCAACTGTTGGCGCAAAACACTAAACACTTTGACAATGTCCTCGACTGTGGCCCTCATTTCCTTCCAGGTCTTGTTCAGCAGCGATACCGCAATGCAATAGAACTCTTCCAACGGGTGATCGTGTGTGAAGAACATCGGGTAAAATGTCTTTCCCTCATCACTGGGCGCTTCCGATACCTTCAGTATTTCGCACAACAATCGGCCCAAATGTACGGTAGACTTGACGAGTGGACACTCGTGTTCGCGATCACTGCGGGAACAGTTCTCCAGAACAAACTTGACATAAGTGTCGGTGTGATTGCGGGCCAAATACACGAGTAGATCCAGAGCCAGAACACCGGGCGATTCGGTAAAGTCTTGGACCGGGTCTTTGCCGTTCGTAAAGCCCAACCTCTTGTAGTCGTCCTGAAAGGCGTCGCCTTTGGTCGACGAGATCAGTGACGACGAGACCAAACTCTTGGAGGACTGGTTCCGTTCAACACCAATATCTGAGTCGAAGGCAATCTTCCGGAGCTCCTGTACGCGCTCTTTCACGTCTAGTTCGTTGCCTGAGTTGACCACTAAATTCATGCGCTCTTCGTGTAGATTGAAGAGCAATGTCTGCAATACATACAACTGGTGGGCCATCTCTGACCCGACGTTATACGTCTGACCGCTGGAGTCGTTGCCCACAGCGACCCTCGGGTTCAATACAGTGGTCAGAATGACGTTACGAATGTGTTTGCCGGACAGAGTGGCGGCCATTGCTTTGCGTTTCGATAGATCCGACTTCGAGAACAAGGCGTTGATCAGTGCTATGGAGTTCTGTTGGATCTCCTGATTGTGTTGATTCTGTGACACCAGATATATCAGGTTCGGTAGCGTCACCTCCGCCTCCACCAAGACGTTGAACTTAGCGCTCGATATCACTATAGACTCCAAAATGGCCAACGAGTGGATCAACTCTTTCTTGTCGGTCGACGATTGGTTCGATGAGTTGACCTGATGTGCGATTTTGCCGATGAATTTGGGCTCTAAGTTGTCCCTAAGAGTTGGCACAAAATAAGACAATCAGTGGTAGACTTATTGGTTGCCGTACTGTATATCTGAAGACATACCACGATATGATCGAGTGATTCATGAGCTCCACAAAGCTCTCCAACGCGAACGCGAAGCCATCGTTGGGCGATATCTCGTCCTTTTCGATGGAATCGATGACAAACTGAAGACCGGATTTGTTGATAAACTCGAGCGCAAAGGTATAATCGGTGGACAGTTTGACGAGTCGTTTATATGTGGCGAACCGGGACTCAGAGGACTCGAACTGGAGTTTGTCGAGTATGTCCTGAGCCGTACGGGAGGGCGAGTGTGTGATGCGAAGAACGGCTCCGTTCTTGATCTCATTGCGGTTCCGTTCGGTGATGTATGCGTTGGTCTGATCGTTGAATTGGAGGGCGTAGTGGTCGCCGTCCGTCAGCGCCCATCCGGTGCACAGGTCTTGGATTATGGCCGACAGCGGCCGGTTCTGGTCGAACTCCAACAGTTGCGGCATCTGTTCCCACGAAGAAGACAACCATAAGATATACAGTGAGATAATGGCAGACAAAATAAGACAATCAATGGACACATACATAGTTTCCGGCAAAAGACGGGTCCGTTTCGACGGCGATCTTAACGATATGTCCATCTCGTGGTGCGGGCATTGTGTCCACCAATTGGTTACCACTTTATGGCAGTTAAGAGTTATGGCAATCAAATGGGAAGACAGGGAACTGATCCCAAACGCGAAGACGTGACAAAACACCCAAACACTTGAAAAATGATAACAAAATCACTGATTGGATGACTGAGTTGTGAGGGGGCGGTAGTGGGGGTGCGAGGGGTGAGCGCCCGACCGACTCCTGTGATGGCCAATGGCTGGTCAGTCGACGGGTGGAAGCGTTGGATGCGATGATAAGCACCGAAACAAATGGTAATCACTTTCTCGACAACAAAACGGATGAAAATGTTTTTTGTTATGAAAACAAAGTTGTATTGAATTGTATTGAATGAATGAAAGCATAGGAAACGCCTTCACTATAGACTCCAATGCAATGCAAATATTGTTGGCTTTGGTTTTGAGAGCACCGGCACTGCATATGAGAGCACTGGTAGGCGCTCTGCGTTAAGCCCTTTAATCGCTGTATTAGTTGTCAATTAAATTACATGATTAGCTAAATGTCAATATGTTTAAGCAATCATATCAGTGGACAGCGATTATAATTAGCATTAAATCACAGTCTGATTGACTGATTTGCTGCCAAACTGTGATTTGCAGACAATTTGCGGTTAATTTAACCCCAAAGTTGTCTACAAAATGCAATTCTACCCAAAAACTGGTTTAAAAAGCGAAACCAGAAATTCAAAAAACACTATTAAATGAATAAAACAAACTTTCTTTTAATTTATTTAATTAAATGTTGTTTTAATTCAAAAAATTTATTCAAAACAATGTGTGGATTATATTCTCGACGGATATAACATAACGCGAACTCTGCGACCGATGGCCAGCGCCGGCAGATTTCGGGCAAACTTGGCTCTGACGGCGCCGGAGTTGCCGTGACTTCGGGTCACTTTACCCCAAATGACCCGCAATTTGCTGGTCTTGCCGT